TTCCCCAKAGCAGTAGTGAACCATGCTGTAACATAAAGTAGCCTCTACTTTTCTAGAGGATGCAGACATTTGAACACTATGTGACATCTTCTACTGTCTCTTGTATTTCATTTTGGAATAATTTTGGATTTCATCTTGGAATTACTGTACCTAAAATGCATAAAAAGCTTCAGCAATGAGCTTAGAAAGTTCTAGTAGAGGATGAGGCCTGGGGTGGGGAAGAGCAAAGGGARTAGACTTGCTTTCTTGGTCCTTTTAGAGACTGGCGCAAGCATGCATATCATTGAGGGTGTTATTTAAACCAGTTTTATTTTAAGAAATGCTCACAGGTATTTCTAATAAATATTTGGAGGTGAATGAATGAAACCATCTTTGTATTGGCCACTTTTTCCATTAATATGGCAATGGCCATACTGTTGCCCTTACTTTTTATCRCTGCAAACAGCCAAGGGGTGTAGATTGCATTCTTCTGGGAACCTTCAGATAGGAGCAGCTTGTTCCAGAAAATACCCATGTACAAAGGAGTAACAKCTCCTGGCCATCACACAGACATGAATTTTATGAGGCTGAAAATGCTATGTATAGCAGGATGGCCTCCTTAGGTTTCAAGAGAAGCAAACACTCATTTTAAGGCTCCCCATACTGATCTATGTTGGCACGTTGAAATCCCTTGATGTCAGGAATGACCACTTCAGTGGGTGATTTTGACATGGCATTTTCACTATTAGGATTGCAAGGCTCTGCAAACCAACAACATAACCACCAGCTTCCTGGAAAGAAAGCAGAATATTTTTTGTCAGTAACGGCTTTTTTAAATTCCTTTTTTATGTATGTACAAATATGTTTAAAATATTTTCCCCTGTTTTGTATTTATACTGGGCTATTTAGTAGTACTTCTTTATACACAATCYGTCTTCTCAAATAAGCAGAAATCTAATAGCATCTAGGTTGGCAGTGATGACCTGAAGCACATAGGTAGAACTGAKGGCTGGGAACATATTAAAGCTGAAAGGAAAATGTTCATTTTGCATTTATGTAACTGCATGTTTGGTTGCGATTTCAGAGATGTTGCATTTGATTGAACGGTCTGTCTTTGCTCTTTCTGTCAAGAAATCAAGGTGAATTTGTAATTGAGAATACAGACTATTAAAACAAGGAAGGTGGGAGATTATGTACTTTTGCAGTTCTTTTTGATAGGCTTCCTCTGTACAGAAAAGAAATGAGAAGGTGCTCTCCTCCTTCTAGAAGAAAGCCAGAAAGAGGCTCTAAAGACTTGAAGTCCAGGTTGTAGATGGCAAAGTATCATTGTCCCTGAGCTGCCTAAGCTAAGCTAAGAGTGAGGTATGACAGCAGTTGTACAGCAAGGGATCAGGCAAGGATCATCAAACAAGGGACTTGGGAGYAGATTAAAAACCCACACCCTAAGCTCAAAGCAGAGGCTGAATGGACCCAGTTTGCTATGTTGCAAGGCCTTTGGATGAGTTGGGGCCACACTGAAATTGAGGGAAATGCTGGTTTAGAAAAGACCTGACTATGTGCACATGGCTTGCTAGYAAAATTGCATGTTGGAGCTCAGGATCCTTATGTCTGAGAGGGAGAAATGCAGCACTTGGGGATCACAGGTGAGTGAGTTGTGGTTTTGGAGAGGTGTGTGTCTTGGTTCATAGCATGCCAGCACTAAAGAGCTCATGCCCTCAGACCACATATTATACACCTGTAATGGCTGCTGCTTTTGTGATAGATGGGTAGGTTTGGAAAAGAAGTTGAGAGTTACCTTACTTTGAACTTCTCTAATTTGAAGCATCCCTGTAAGCTGAATTTCAATAATTTGTTTTTTGAAACTTATGTGTTCTGAAGTTTCCTACAAAATGGCAATACTGAGGAACAAATAAAAAGGTTTTGGAAATAGAACATCATATTTTCAAAATCACATTTGTTTTCTGGTGGTGTTGCAAAATGGGGAATATGTCAAGATTATCTGAAGTCAGGATGTTCTTTGATGTAAGATCTTTGTATACTTTCAAGACTAGTCAGCAAGAAAGGAKATCTAATCAGTGGAACAGGCAGCAGCTACATCCCTTAGTCAAAGACATCCTGGAAYTCACAAGCTTTAAGAATGTAGTAAATCAAGACGAAGTTAGGAAACCACTGTACTTCAAAACTGATGTRTGGAAATGTGGGGAATGAGCCCCTAGATGCAGGTTAAAAGTGACTGCTCSGTGTTGATGAATCACTGCACTGCCTGGCTGCCCAGTGCTGGGACATACTATAGCCAGCATGCACTATGGGAAAAGCTGGCTTTGTTCTGCYCAGCAAGAAGAGTCTTGTCAGCACCAGTGAAGATCAGTGAAACCAGCAGCCTGAGCTCCACAGAGCTAGGAGCTTCCTTTGAAACTGCCCTGCAAGTGCAGAGWGTGAAGCAACACAACATGTGAAAACAAAGGGATGAGCGGGTCAAGTCTTTTCCCTCTGCTTCCCCACATTTCCCCTCCTTCATGAGGACAACTGTCTTTAGAAACTCTACCAGTTAACCTGTGCCTTTCTGGAGCCTCAAGAGCCTGGAACTGGTTTTATAATAAGGACAAAAGAAATGAGCAGCAGAGCTATTTTGCATTTATCAGTGCTAAATCTCCTGTTACACATGGTCCTGATGCTTCCACATGAACTTTATGAAGCTCTCTATGGTTTCTGATTTCCTAAGTTTAGTTTCTTGAGGATTTGTAGATCAGTTCAATTYTGGGAATTTCACTCTTGGCATTTATGTTTCTAGAGGTGAAGTGATAGGTCCCAGTGTACAGAGGTTCTCCCCATTCACTAAGTGTGCTCAAAATTCTTCTTTTCTCATTCTCAAATGTTGCTGGACTTTTGAGACTCGCAGGRGATATTTCTCAGGGCTAAAGGGAGAATGTACACATACAAAAKCATTTCTGATGGTGCAAATTATCAGCCCTCTGCAACCTTCACTGGGTGTTGGGATGAGGAAAAGCAATTAAGGCAGTATTGATTCCTGCACCAATTTCAAAATCTACCCTCGGGAGCCTGACCTACTTTGGACTAAGCTTGTTCATTGGCAATTTCCTTCCTGCTCCCAAAGCAGCTGCATCAACAAGGGCACTGCTGCTTTCCCAGATGAAAGTGGGGAGACATCGGTGTCCCTCAGCTTGGATGGAGCCCACAGCTAGTAACACGTAAGGGAATGCATCAGTGTTGGGCAAATATATCACAGCTGCTTCCATAACATGCATTCTCAGCCCAACCTGGAGCTTGATCCTGCTAATGGAATACCTGGAAAATGCTGGACAATTTTTTTTTTTTTTTCTAACAGGACAGGTCTAGCCTGAGGTCCTAGAGAGCCTGTAACTATGGGGCAATCTGCAAGGCCTTTGTTTTTTGGAGTTGTTTACCAAGGGAAACAAATTAAGGCAGCAACTTTTGCCTCCGGTTGGAACAGAGTACTGCAGCTCTTCCCACAGAGAGAGTGGAGGCACTGGGCAGGAGAAGGCTTCTCAGTGTGAGGGGTGGCTCCACATCACTTCCACTTGYCCCATGGTCCAGACACCAGTTCATTGCAGATGAGCAGCACAGGCTGTACAGATGAGAAAAGAGAGGTGAGCTGTTCCCAGTCACCCTAGAGCTGCCCTGCACAGATCTCTCCCTCCCTAGCACCTGCCAATCCTTTTTCCTTCTGAAAGAACAAAGGAGCTGATCTCATTTTGTCCCAAGAACTAAAACACTACGATTGCCACAAATGAGATGCTTTTTCCCATATAAAGCAAAACCCAAACTTGAATGCAGCCTATTTCATCACAAGAACTCTGATTTTCCTCCAATTTTTTCCAGATGGGAGAAGGTAATTAAGGYGTGCATTTCTCTGCCAGAATTGTTTCTCAGGAATGAAAATGGCTGCAACACATACTGGGTTATTATTTTATATTATTATGTATATGAATAATAGTATGCATATGAATGTGTGTATGTCTGGGCTATATGTGGAACACAGAATTTAAGTGACAATCAAAAACTTACCTCTCCCTCRCCTTATTCCATTAGCTTAACATTCAACCATCATGTCACATTGGAAGTTGGGCTGTTAGAGGCACTTTATGATAGAAACAAGTGYTTGAGGGGGAACTATGTTCTGCCTCTGCTGTCCTGGGGGAAAGGCTCCAAGAAATCTGTCTCCTCTGAACTGGGATGTAACAATAAGGAGGAGGAACTTAAGCTGTGCCCTCTACTAAAAGTCATAAAGTTTAAAAGTTCTGGGTCTGAAAGAAATATGGGGTTCAGACGTGATGAAGCAGATTGGACCTCTAGTAACACTGCCACAAATGAGCAAAGCACAGCAGCAGGAAAGAAACCAGGAATCCTTCTCACTAGTATAATGAACACTTGTGGGGGAGGGAGGGGAATCAAACATGCTTCTTGCCTGAGTTTGAACTCTGTCATTTCATGAACCACGTACAAGTGGGAGCCTGAGGGGCTGAGAAGTGGTGCTGGGCTGCTKGGCAGAAGAGCACTGGAGTGTGAGCCAGGTTGTTTAGCCTCTCTCTGCCACTGACCTCAGCTGACCTTGTGCTTTTGACTCCCAGTGCCTCAGTTTCCCCATCTACACATGAAGTTCAGCTCTTCATAAGGGAATACTAGTAGGCAGGATACAGGGAGCTTTCTACACTTAGGTAAAAAAATATATGGTTTTGCTGGTTCATTTTCTCTAGAAACACAAGAGAAGGGAAGGTCATCCAAAATTTGCAGAGGACAGAGATGAGGCAGGCTGGGGCAGCCAATCGAGAACTTTCCCATCAGACTTTTGGAAAGCAGCTTATCTGTGAAACAGCTTGAGACCCAGCCAGGCCCCAGACCTGAGAGCAGCCAGTGGGCTAGTACAGAGGTGGAGCTTACACTGAGGCTGTTTGTTAGATATGAAATGCTTGGATGGGTCAGTGCCAGGCACAGCACCCGGGAGGTGGCTGAGGGGAGCTGTGCAGAGAGAAGTTCTGGCCATGGGGAGGGCAGCCCCAGCCCTCCTGGTACTGCTCAGCCTAAGAGTGACTATTTGTGATGCTGAGGACACCTGCTCAGGTGAGTAGAGCACAAATCTTACTGCTGTCTCATTGAGACAGCCTGTTTAATCTCCCCTCATAAGAGAAGGAGCTTGGGGAGGGTCAGGGGAGGGGGAGAAGTAGCATATGATTTTTTTTTTTCCTTCTATGCTTTTTTAAATTCAGCTGCAACTGGGTGAGAGTAAGGGGGAGGCTGAAGTCTCACCAGCCACTTAAGAAAGTTGCTGGCTCCAACTAATGATGTAACATCATTCCTTCACCTCTCTAGGAAGAGACAGTCCCCAYTGAGGCTTTCCACCATGATTAGGGTTTTTTGTCAGTAGGGTCTTGGTGCAGTTATCAGAGGACACAGAGCTATACAAAGGATCAGCCTGGGGATGCTGTGCAGCAGTTTTCTGTCTGTATTCCTCAAGAAGGCAATGGGACAATTTCAAACAAGCCTGCCATCAGGAAATTCAGAAGAATCCTCATTGTCCACAGATCCATCAGTGTCACTTACTCTGCTGTCATAACCATTGGGGCACCTCTCAGCTTTTGTTTTATTAAGCTACAGTATATTTGTCATGAATGCAATGTCATATGTATCAGCCTCCTCTCCCACTGAACTCCTCCCTGAAATCAGAGGGATGCAGAATTTGGCTCCTCTGATATGTGAGATCCTCAATGTCATCTGTCAATCCATAAAATACACCCAAATTTCCATACTTACTGCTTTGGATTGCACTGATCCTCAGTTTCAGAGAGTTTGGTTTCCTCTCCAAGACATTTCAGAGCTCTAATAATCTCAACAAAAACTGTCTTAATTTCTCAGAGGTGAGAATAGTGGGACTGGGTGATGCTGACAGACTCGCCATTCTTCAAGGATGTCCAGGGATCCCAGGTGTCTCTGGCCCAAAAGGWGAACCAGGTCTCCCAGGAACAAAAGGTGAGGCCCCCAAAGCCAGTGATGAGCACTGTGATATGAGATTGTTTTGTTGCTTTGGGAAGGGGAAGCAAGCTGAGGCTGGAGCAATGGCTGCCCTGGCACTGGTTGCTGTGAGCTCCTGGAGAACTGGAGTGGAGAACACCCCAATTAGACATATGCTGGTACACATGGAGTGAGTGGTTTCTTCCTTGAGTCCTGTCACAAATCTGAAGCAATCTTGGGATGTAAAGTGTCTCATTTGTTTCTTCTACAGAAAGTCATCCATTTATTTTCTGGGTCTCTATTGAACAGTCTGGGTGGGAGGGAGGCTGAGATGCTCCTGCCTGTTTCCTGGGGAACAGTTTGGGGAATGTATGGCAACCCCTACCCTGGGAAGCCAGRGAGAGGCAGGTCCTTCATAGTTTCCATAGCCAGCTTACAGAGAATGTGAATCACATCAGCTGAGCGAGATGATCCACCGCAGCAAAATCCATAGGCTGGCTCCATGATGTACAAAACTCATCAAAACTCATAAGAATTCATATGTGAACTACAGTAAGAGACTCTATTGAGACTTCAGTAGAAAGAAAGGAGTAAGGCAAAAGAGTATGTTGCAAAACTGAATCTAATTAATAAAACTGGTCTCCCTTGTTTCTGTGAAAGCCAAGGCCCAGTYGCCCAGGCTTCTGTGACCTCCCTGCTCTGATCAGTTTGCAAGGTGCACATAAAAAATGATTCTTTCTTTGCAGGAGAAATGGGAGACCAGGGATTCCCTGGGAAAGCAGGGCCACCTGGTGCAAAAGGTAATGTATAATGTGCAGCTCTAATCTGYAAATATCCCCAAGCTCAGGACAAGCATTGGAAGACTGGGTCTACAGAGATGAGCTGGAGGCTTGCCATAGTCTAAGAAAAGGGAGTCAAGTACATGGAGTGAGCACTAGAGTGTTCTTGAGTGGACCACAATATAGAAGATATCATTCTTCTCAAAATTTTCCACTGATCCTTACCAGCCCCCTAAAGTCAGACCTCTCCCTATTCTCCACTCCTAACCTGCCTCCAGCACAAGYCTGCCTAAATGCCCCCCAGCTCTGAGGAGCTTTGGAGCTCTCTGTGGGGCTTTAGCCCAGAGGCCTGATGCAGAGGTACYATGCTGAGTGCTAGTTCTGTCAATTGACTGAGGCATTTTAAAGGACACCAACACCAACTGAAAGAATGGTCTTATTTTACTATGAATATTAAAGAAAACAAAAGTGAATGATACATTCAATAAAACTACGCACTTGGCTTTGGCAAAAAGCAAAAAAAAAGCAAGATAATGCACTTAATCATTACTGTATGAGAGACAGGATAATGACTGACAAAGATACATCATCAGTTGCTTAAATACTTTACCACCATCCAGAGTCCGCAGTTACTGGGGAGCCACATTTCTCAATGTGCACCTGAAGAACCCTTCCCAGCAATTGGGCAAATCCTATGCAATGCATCCACCCATAGGTAAGGTCCCTGAATTCTCCCTGAAAGGGAGTCCAGTTCTTATGGGCCCAAATCAGCAAGCTGAGTTGGCTTAGTTATATTTTTAGCACAGAAATACCCGATCTGATGGCACACTTCCTGACCAGCCAGCGCCAGGCCTCGGCTGGGAGGGTTTTCTCCTTAAATACACTACAAACAAGCCTCTATTCATGTCAGTTGAGAAAGTTTCTTAAAATTACACGTTTCATGTAGATAACTACTCAAGGTTATAAACAGCTAGCATAAGTATCTTTGTCATCTATTTTAGCTAAATAATACTGATGGTGTTAGTCACTCAGTGATCCATCTTGTAAGGTTTGCTGCTCAGGCCTAAGCACATCAGTGCTTTCAGGAGCCTCCAGGCTTTGACTCGGTGTGCAGTGCCCACCTGACCACAAGAATGGGATCAAAGAACAGCAGCACACAATGAGATTTTCTCTGTAATAGGATGAATCCCTGAAAAGAGGAAGATGCCTGTTGAGAAACTGGTTTTCCCCACCATGGCTTGCTTAGGACCTTCAGCAGGACCTTCAGCAGGACGATACTTGGAAAAGTATCTCTTCTAAATGATCCAGCTCCCAGCATAATGGGGCATCTAGGAACCGAGCAGCAGTGCAGACTAGCAGAGAAGACACCCCTATTACATGCTGAATAKGAAGCTATTTCCTGGCCAAAAGCACCCAAGACTTGAACTGAAACTCCAGCAGGAGATAGACAAACCCACTGAAAAAGCAGCTATTGATTGAAATCTTGTAAGTGTCTGACTGTAAACAGAAAGCCCCCACAAAGTCACGGAACTGTGAATTCCCCATACGTTCCTGGAGATGGAGCAGCAGTTCACTCTCCTCTGTATCCTGCTCTTCCTGCTGCTCCTAAGAGATGGGGCTGATCAAAAGAGCAGCCAGGCTGGGGCAGCAGCACCACRTGGGACACTCAGCTGAGCACTGTAGCTTTGCACCTCTTGACAGCCTCTCCTGTACATTTGGGACATATAGAGGGACTGGAGCAGCCACTTGAGGAGCCACAATAATTCATTTGCATTGGATAGTCTGTGACGAGCATTTTCTCTTGTGTTTTGTAGGAGCAGCCGGAGAGCCCGGCCTCCCAGGACTGAAAGGTAAATCACGTTGTTAATCTGAGTTTATCATATGAGCTGCTTTGAAAACTTCCACACTGTGCTGTTCTGGTACAACACACAAGATGGGAGCAGTTATAATGACYGGATGGGGCTGTTTGGTGACAGATGTACCTCATCGTAGGCTCTGCCCACAGGTGCTGTGGGTAGTCTGCTCCCAAAGCAGATGTTCAGCAATAGGTGCTGCCCTCAGCTCGGGCACCTGGTGCTGTCACCTGGCACCATCAGAAACCACAGTGCTGAGGGATCAGCCAGATTTGGGCAGAGCTCTAATATTCCCATGCTATGGCAAAATACAGAGGCTCAAATGAAGTTCAGTTGCTGCTAGTGCCAGAGGAATGTCTCTACCAGCACTAGCAATAAGGTAGCAGGGAAACATGGGTTTTTTCCTTTGTGTCATCATCCTCTATGTGAGGGCCACAGGCACCCACCACTGAGCACTATCTGCACTGTGGCTTTCCTCTCTGGAGTTTGGCTGGCAATCAATGGGTCCAACACTGCTGGCCTGGCAGATGGTTCTAGTGCTCCAATTGTCACTGCTTCTCCCAAACCACTGGCTAAAGCCCTTTGCCAGCAGCAATCACTCCCCTCCAGGGACTTGTGACTCTGCCTTCCCAAGGAGCATTTCCTCCTCCTTCTCTCACTCGCTCACTCACTCACTCACTCACTCACTCACTCACTCACTCACTCACTCACTCACTCACTCACTCCTATCCCTCACATCCCAGCCCAGTGGGACTCACTGGCACAAAATGTTGGTATCCAGCTCTTGGACAGCAGCAGGCAGACAGCCAGGTCCAACAGAGACACGTCTTATGCCAGTCTCACCATTTGGACCTTTAAGCCCTAAAACAGATGTCCATGGGAAATGGATCATACCAAGTCCAACAGGCCAAGAGATGCAAGGCTGCTGCCCTCTGAGCATAATCGGTGTATATGTGTATATATCTATCTATATCTGTCTGCAGTGTCCTCCCTCATAGCTACTCCCTGTACCTCTTGGTTAACCTGGAAAGCTGTTTGCAGTGTCTGAAGCTGCTGCATGTCATTGCTGTAGTTACAGGGGTTTGTGACTTGGGTTCCCACCTGCCCCTCTGTGCTTTCCTGGTCTGTGCAGATGGGCTCGTGGGTCTCCTCTGGTGGGCCTGGTAGCAGCCAGGACAGAGTTTATATTGAATTACTCTTTCTGYCTGGTTTCTCTCTGAGCCAAGCACTTCCTCTAACATCACAGCTCTCCAATGCAGCAGGATTTGTCKTGGTGAATGTCAAATACTGGGGAAGGTGAGTGCTGGGTGAAGGTGGAGAGCAATTGATTGTGTTGTTTGTCCAACAGGAGCAAAAGGAGAGCCTGGATATCCAGAAATATGGGGTGAGTTTCATCCTAGGTCTTCATGACATTGGTCAGCTTTGCAGRGTGGATGGTGGTGGTACCCACACCCAAAGTCAGGACAGGATAGGAATAGAAACAAATTCAGAGTAACACTGAAGGATGGAGTAAGGAAATACCACTGTTGTCTTTGCTTCTCACAGATGCATCTTCTGTGGGTCTACTCTGTACTCCAGCCATGCTRGGAAAGTCATGTCCTCTGAGCACCACTTACATGTTCTGTCCTCTGTGTATCCTGGAGGATATCTGAATTTTTTCAGAGACTCAGTGTCCTGATTTCTAGGATGAAAGCATTAGAAACAGCTGTATGGACAYGTGACTACTTCAAAGGCAGTTATACCCCCATACTTTAAGTGGCACCCTTAGTACATGTGAGTTCATATGTATGATAATGCTCAGATTAACTTAATCATTGAAAGAAAAGAAGAAAAATAAGCARGTTTCAGTTACCCCATCTGTCTCCATGAGTCAAAGGAGAGCTATAACCTGCTCTGGCTACAACTGACTGCTGTAGAGTTATAACAACATGCAAAGACTCAGGCAGATCAAAGCTGCTGTAACACCTGAGAGACTCGGATACCACTGAACTGTCCCTTGCTGCCCCAGACACTTCTACTGGGCATGTAAAACAKTTGACTAATAAAGAAAAAGCAAGTCCAGGACCATCCCTCTGCTAGGGAGGTCACAAGACAGACTGGTACAGCTGTGTATCCATGTATCACACACAGCACACTGGGACACCTGCACCACCATCTCTGAGCATCTCAGGCTTTCCCTACAACAGCTACTGATGCAGCTGTAAGCTGGGATGTCTGATAGGGACCATTCAGTCACCTGTGAATCCGAACTTCTGTCAGCAGGTATGGTTTTGGGGAGAAAAAAAAGTATACATTATATATATATATATATATATATAAATGTACATATTCAAAAGTATTGTGTGTCTTGGGGAGACTTCAGTATGGCCTTCCAGTACTTAAAGGCTGCTTATAAAAAAGCTGGAGGGTGACTTTTTACATGGGCAGTGACAGGACAATGGGGAACGATTTACAGCTAAAAGAGATTAGATATTAGGAGGAGATTTTTTACTCAGAAGGTGGTAAGACCCTGACACAGGTTGTCTGGAGAAGCTGTGGCTGYCCCACCCCTGGAAGWGTTCATGGCCAGGCTGGATGGGKCTTGGAGCAACCTGGTCTATTGGAAGGTGTCCCTRCCCATGGTAGGGTGGAATGAGATGAGCTTTAAGGTTCCTYCCACYCCAAAMCAGTCTGTGATTCTGTGATTCAATCCGTAGAGGRTGATGTGAACACTTTTCACTGCATCAGAAGGAATTGACTCTCTGTGTCACCGCTCCTTTGCTGTCAACTACCCACACACTTTTGGTGCCCTCCTTGCATTCTGGAGCTCGGACAAGATCCTGGATCATGAATTCATCATACTTTTCAGAGCAGCTCCATAAACCAGACCACCAAAAGTCATTGCAGATGAGAAGAGTGTCAGCAGCTTAGACCATTTCTTTCTTAGAAGCTGCCCATCTCCCCTGTAACATATGGGCTCAGAAGCCATGGCAGGGTTTGGTTCCCAGAASCTGTGCATTAAGATCCTGCAGTGCAGCTGGGTGCTAAAGGGCTCAAAGGCTCAAGGATGGGGTGCTCACTGGATCAGTGTACATATTATAACTCTTTCCACTTCATCTCTTTCTCTGATTTGCACAGAACCCAGGAACTGCCAAGAACTCTTGGCCAAAGGGAAGATTTTGAGTGGCTGGTACACCATCTACCCCCAAGGCTGCAATGCCACCACTGTCTTCTGTGACATGGACATGGATGGTGGGGGATGGATTGTGAGTAGGATGAGGAGAGGGAGGTTTATATGTTCCTGCAGTGATTTTTGTTAAAGTTGCAAAGGATGGCACAAAAATAGAAACAAAAGAGAGGAAAACWCACAGCAGCTGAGGACATCCACAAGCCAGAGTGAATCCCTATGGATGCAGGGAATTCCCCCAGGAATTGTCTCTGGGAGCARGCTGAGTGCCACAGACCCACTCCCTGCTTAAACCAGCAAGTAATTTCTTTCCTCCTCACTTCCAAGGGCAGATGGAGGAGATACTTGAGTGAGGGATTCTTGTGGGGTTTGCTCCCCAGACACCCAGAGAAGTATCCTGATGCAGGGGAAGCATTTACCAGGGTGGGCACGTCCCCCAGGTGCTGTGGATGCTTTTGACTGAGGGATGGGCTGATGGGGCTGAGGGTCTCTTTCAGGTTTTTCAGAGGCGCTGGGATGGGTCAGTGAACTTCTTGCGAGATTGGGATTCATACARACGAGGCTTTGGCAACCAGCTGACTGAGTTCTGGATGGGGAATGACAACATCCACTTGCTCACCTCTCTGGGTAAGGTCAGCCTCTGTCCCCGGCTGGGGCCATGAGAGTCCAATCCCTGTACCACACTGAGTCATTGCAGACCTCTGAGCTTTCCAAATTCATCTGAGGCCTGCACTGTTCATCCCAAACAAGATGCAGGCTCTTGCAGCCCATTGCATACAAGAAATTGCACGCTACAGAAAAGCAAAACTAGAAGTCAGGGAAGAGAATGAGCTGGCTGCATGATCTACCCTGGAGACAGGCCAACACTACTTGGAATGCTTGTGATGGCATTGTCTTGTCTACACATAGCCTTGTAGTCACAGCTGTGTGCAGGACCACTGGGCACATGCCTTCACATGCTTTCAGTGCCCATGACCACCCAATATTGTATATGAAAAGGTGCTTCCCTGGAAAACCATCAAAGGTATAGGAGAGTCTGCAGGAATTTTAAATAAATCAAAATCTCCGAAGTAGTGGAAGCTCTTCTGAAGTTAGCTCATAGCTCCTTAAACCCTCCCCCTTGAAATCCAGCACTCACCCTGCACCATTGCTGTCCACCTTCTCTTCTAGGACCCTGCGAACTCCGCATTGACCTGAGAGACTTTGAGAACAACTACTATTTTGCCAAGTATGCCTCRTTCAGAGTTTTAGGGGAGTCAGAGAAATACAGACTAGTTCTAGGAGACTTCCTTGGTGGAAATGCTGGTAAGTTCAAGGCAGCTCACTGGGAAAGTCTGTTTCCTAGAGCATTTCAGAAGTGTTCAGCTTGTGTGCAGAGATGTATCATGCAAACTGCTTGTATTGGCTACATTTTGAGTTATTTTTCAAAACTGGCTATGGTACCTCAGGTACTGAATGACTTCTGGGTACAGGGATGGAGAGAGACACCCATCATTCAAAGAAGTGTGACAGATTATTACCTACAAGCCCAGCCACATGATTTAACACCAAATGAGCCTGGTTCTGAGCAGTACCCAATACAATTGACCTTCCAACAACTCTGCAACAGCCAGGCCAAGTTCTGTGTTTGGCTACATTGGCAGGAGAGATTTGCCCATGAGGTTTGGCATTTCCAGGGCTGGGGTGCTGTTCAACACTTGTAGCATCAGCACTGCACCTCTTAATACCTGATGTTTTGGGTTTTTTTAAAAAGTAAACAAATCTTCAAAACTCAATATCTATCACACAGGAATAAGTGAAACCAACACCTGAGAGAGCAGTGCTCTGGATTTTTTTTGGCTTTGTGCACTGCAACCCTGTCTAGTAATTCAGACCTCAGCGTGTCTGCAGAGAACCTGAGTRTTGCAAGAGAAGTGACACCCGTGTACCTGTGAGGAGAGCCCGGCCCATTTGATTCACAAGCATAGATAAATTCTCCATGTGTTTTAACAGAGCTCAGGATGCTTCTTTGATCCAAGACAAGGAGGAAACCTGGGCAATACAAAGGCAGGATTTATTCAATCTGCCTTGTACCTGGCAAGGGCCACTGGCACTCACAGAGGTGCACAGACATATCAGTCCTGTTTGTGATCCCTACTGCAATAACTGTGAATGTGTGCTCTCTGCAGGAGACTCYTTATCGTACCATAGGGACATGCCATTTTCAACAACAGATCAGGACAATGACATGAGCTCCTTTAACTGTGCCACAGAATACAAGGGAGCATGGTGGTACAATGACTGCCATTACTCCAACCTGAATGGGATATACTGGATGGGCATGCACAGGAGCTACGCTGATGGCATCAAYTGGAAGACAGGCAAAGAATACCACTACTCCTATAAGCGAACAGAAATGAAATTCAGGCCAGTTTAACATGGTGAGAGGGTGCCTGACTAGCTCCAAGAGGTGCCACTCACCAACCAAAAGAAGACACAGAACATGATGTCTGAGGACAAAAATGGACCAGAAAGGATATTACAGGTTGTGCCTTCTTGCCCACAGCAGGATTTTTGAAGATGGAAGATATCAGTGCTGGTTTGAGCTCCTGTAAACTSTCACCCTGACTCTCACTCTCACTGACTACCTCCAGCAGCCCCACTAATGCTGACTGAGCCCAAGCATATTTTTCTGAAAACTGCCRGTTGGAGGTCAGGATTTTTCCATTTTCTTTCTCTCTCTTAGGGAATTTTCTCCCAGCTGTTGCCTAAGAGATRGTAACTACCAATACTTAAGATAAAAAAGATATGTGGCCGGGGGAGCAGGAGGGGAAAGGGGTGCACCTGGCTGCACTTTTCTCATCTGAGGGGTTTCTCTTATCTGAAGGTGGTGGAGGTTAAGATTTCTTCCTTTATTTTCAGTCTTGGAGAATTTTTTCCCCATTTTGTTACTAAGATACACTAATGGGTGTGTCGTTTCCTGAATAGCCAAGTGCTCAAAAGAAACAAAAGAAGTTGCCAAGCCCTGGGGGGGAATGAGGACTCCTCGAGGCACCCCTCCTATTTGACAATTTTTCTCTCTGTAGAGAGCAGAGTTCTCGCAAAAATTTGAGCATGAGAAAAAGATGTGAGGGGGAGGAGAATAGCCCACTTCTCGCCCTGCTTGGCTTAGGGGAGGACAGTGGACCTGCTGCCTGCGGGAGASAGCKCACCTGCCGCTGCTGCAAAGCCCAGCGTCCAGCCATAAATTCCTACCCCCTACACTAGAACTTCTGCTCCCCTGCCTCGCCGGGACCYCCTGTGATTTTCCAGCTACAATAGCCGAATTCTAACACATCTTGTCTACATTCCGCGGGATTCACCCATCACTATACATGGGCTCGTCTCTTTGCCCATCTAACTGCTCCAAACTTCTTGCTACAGCTCCTCTAACTATCCAAATAAAGCACCAAAATGAACTCCCCCTATAAATTCATAAAAAACCTCATCTCCATCCATTTCTGCCCGGCGCCCACCATTAGCCACACACAAAAAAAAACCCCTTAAAACCAGCCGTGACCCGCTCCACAGCGCCCCCTGCAGCCGCAGAGRAACCATCGCACCCTCCCTGCCTGGCCGGGAGCCAACAGCGCCCCTGCCGGCTGGGACCGTAACTGCACCAAAGGGGAGTGTGCGGCAGCCCCAAAAAAATCTATCACTCAGTTCATAATTAAGTAGTTATTGATATAGTTATTGTTACTTATTTTACCTTGTTATACATATAAATAATAATTATTATTCCCTTTTTCCCATATCTTTGCCTGAAAGCCCCTTAATTTCAAAATTATAATAATTCGGAGGGAAGGGAGGTCATTTTCACCACACCAAAAGAAGTCCCTGCCTTCATTAACAAACACCTGTCTTTCAAACCAAGACAGAAGGGCAGACATCTCGTTGGGCTGGAGGGAAGGGGCTGGGCGTAGGTCCTAGCTCTCTCTCTCTCGGGATTGGAAGGAACAGCTGAGGTGTTGCTCACCACGGGGAGAATTCACCGCCACGGCAGAACCCAGCCCTGTGCTGCTTCTTCCTTACTGTGGGTGAGCTTTTGTTCATAAGAGCAGCCGTGTAAGTGGGACCTTATTAAACTTGATCTGACTGGAAAGSACCTTCACCATTTATTCAGGTGCCTCAGGTTAAAACGGGGACCCCTTCCCCCTTCCCCCTTCCCGGAGGGCATGCGTATCTCCCTGGCTGCATACAGCTGCTGCTACGGAGAAGCCGCTGCCGCTGCACAGCCCAGCTCTTCTCTGCTGCCCCTTCGGGTTTTTTCACTACGCTCTAACCAAGTACTCTGTGTCCACTGCAACCCCTGCGGCTCCCACTAAAGTTGTGGAGTTTTTTGAAACATTTTGTTTGCTACCCAGGCAGTGTGCCTGCCTTTGCTGCCCCAGCCACTGCTCTGAGGTTCCTGCCATACCCCATTTTATCACCCAGGCCCAAAGCCAGCTTCAGCCACTCTTCCAGGGTATTTTTATAGACCTCATTAGCTGCTGTGGACCAAGAGCTGAATGCAAAATAGTCTCTTCAGAAGCATGTGTGGTAYCAAAACACTACAGCAGATCAAGTCAAGCCTTGCAAATGTGGACATCATGTATTGCCCGGAGTGCCAATGTCTTCTGATGCCCGAAAAAGGCCTAGAAATGAAACCCCATAGACTGGTGTCTGTAGAGCAGGTATTTGTTTATTACAAATAATAAATAATTAGCGCTGGTGTAGCACTGCAGGTGAGGAGGATTTCTCCTCCTAACCCACCTGCCTTTGCTTCAAATTAGCACATATTTATACAGTAAGCGTGGTGTAACATGAACATTGTCACTGCCCCACCATACACCCATCACTATACATGGGCACGGAAATACATGATACCACAATTTTACAAGTGCACATGTGTCATCCTCAATTCGGTGGTCGCGGGAATCTCCCTCTAATGAGAGACCATCATCTTCATCATGGTGGACTTTTCACCTTTGTCTTCAGGGCATGCACAGTTCTGATGTCCATGGGTTTTTTCTAGTCCTTCAAGTCGTAATTTCCAATTATTTTGCTGACTGTCCTGTGCTTCTGCCAAGTTCTCATTAGTGCTCTCTACTGTTCTTTGTTTATAGCATCTACCTGTCTACTTTCTTCAGAATTCTTCTGATTTATACCTCTTGGTGATTTCACGTATCTATGGACTAATCCAGCTGGTTAGATTACGTGCAGCTGGTACACTATATGTTGCTAATACACTATTAAAAAACTTATAACAATATATATATAAGCTATCATTGATAATATATTGAAAGTGATTACATTGTATTTTAATAATATGTAAAAAGTTATTACATTCTTATATTGATAACATATAAAAAGGCTATAGAAAKTTTTCAATTAATAGGCCTCATAAGCATCTTGTCACTTTGATATAGACCATATCTATCACTTCCATTTCACCCTATTTTCAGTAGCATTTGAGGGCTATGTGCTGGTGGGGGATGCAGTTCATCCAGTTCGTGTGTTGTATTTGTTAGCAGAAATGGGTTTCTTCTTCCGGCGCTGGTGCTGCTGGACTCCTCCCCACAGCTGACACAGAAGAGTGAGTGCTGTCCCCTGCAGGGACAGACAGAGACGGTGGAAACAGAGTATTTCTTGTGCTGTGTTCCTAAGGATTCTGGGTTTATTTCACTACGTGTTGCACAGATAGGCAGGAAGTGCAGCTCCAGCCCTACAAGACTGAATCCAAACCTTGTCGGTGAGAAGTGAGGTCACTCAGCCCACCACAGCAACAGCGTGCTAATACGGTTTCCATCTCCCCACTCACTAGGTGCTGTCTCAGTTTAATTCTTCTTAGCTACASAAGAAAGTGTGTGTCTGAGTAAAGAAGTGCACACTGAAAACCCYCTAGTCACTTCTCCCTCTCCAGGTGCTCCATCTTGTTTTCCTCCTACTCCTCATCAGCTTCGTGCCTTCAGCAGGAGCAAGAACAAGGTCCCAGAGCAGCAGCTGTACCTCACCCATCAGCTGCTGATGCCATCTTTCAGGTGGAGCTTCTCAGAGGCCTAAGGTGCTACTAAGGGCTCCTCTGCAGAGATGTATGAGCAGGTGCTAACATACTTAGCTTTAACCTAGGTAAAAATGCTAAATCCCCAATTTCTGCTCTCCTTTAGCCTCTTCTGCTACTACACAGAAACCTTCCATGTTTACATTCTGTTTGTGAAGGACACTGATGTTAGATGGATTAAGATGACACCAAGAGCTATTTATCCAAGCCCATCTGGTCCATATTCCCAGATCACCATATGACTACATAAAAAAAATATTCAGGTATGACACGCTATCACCAGTGCTAGGTGAGGTGATTTGGACCTGGCTGCAGGGTGAAATTATCCCGAGTCCCTGTGCTGGCTTTAGCTGGGCTAAAATTGATATTCTTCACMRTGGCTAGTATGGGGCTGTGTTTTAGATTTGCACTAAACACAGTGATGATAGTACAGAAATGTTTTTGTTAATGCTGAGCAGGACTTTCACAGAGCCCAGGCCTTTTCTGCTTCTTCTACTGCCACACCGGCAAGGAAGATGGGGATGCATGGGAGACAGGGAGGAGACAACTACAGGATAGATGACCCAAACTGACCAAAGGTACRTTYCAGACCATACGATATCATGCTCAGTATATAAAAAGCAGGGGGGAAAGGAAGAAGGGGGAACGTTTGGAGTAATGTTGTTCATCATCCCAAGTCACCCTTCCGCAGGATAGGGCCCTGCTYTCCTGGAGRTGCTGAACACCAGCCTACCCACAGGAARCAGTGGAATCTTGTTTTACTTTGCTCGTCTATGTAGCTTTTGCTTTCCTTATTAAAGTGTCTATCTCAATCCATGTTTTCTACCATTTACCCTTTCAATTCTCCCCCTGCTTCCACTGGTGGGGGAGTGAGTAAGAGGCTGTGTGGGCATAGTTGCTGGCTGGGGTTAAACCATAACARTCCCCTAAGYTGGGACAGTRAGCCATGGGCTGGCACTGCAGCCCCTCCWGCATGAGCCCCAAGCACTGCAAGGTAGGTTGTGATGAAGGTTGTGATGAATGTGCTAATGTAGGCATGTGRGGGAGAAGGTCATAGATCACAGAATGTTTGGGTTGTGTTATAAACTATTCAGATGCTGAATGGGAATGAGTTTCATTTGAAAAAAAAAATTTAAAAATTTATTGAGAACTTAAAAAAATCTGCAAAGCAAGAAGGGTAGCGCTGGGCACTTGATGTGGTGGTTCCGACTTTTATACCCTCTAACTTCATACCTATGTATGTATCAAACATTTTGGTTTTACATACTTCCTGCCCATGCCATCCCTCTTTGGTGCAGTCCTTGTTGCTGTGTCTGTCCAAGTTTTCATTGGATGAGGGCCGTTGCTGTGACTGTTGGTGTTCTCATTGGATGAAGCCTTGCTCCCAACTGAGAARTTTGGTCAGCAACCAACCCCAATGTAACTCATAAACCCTTATTATAAAAAACAAGACCAACCCTCCACAACCARCCCCCTACAATAAGTTAAATGCAATTTAATTCAACATTTTACAAAAAAACAACATTATAATTTTAGTATTAAATTGTACAACCCTGTGAAAGCCAAACCTCATTAACTTCTTCATCACRGTTGGAAGGGACCTTAAAGAGTCCCTCTRGTTCTAYCTGCTCTRCAGCAATGGCACCCAYTAGATCAGGTTGCTCAGGGCTCCATTCAACCTGGTCTTAAACACTTCCAGAAGATGTGGCTTGATTGGCCATCCCAGGCATCGTGCTTGCAGCACAGAGAGGGCTTGCACTSACTCCAGACAGAAAGTACTGAATCATCAAGTTCAGGGTCCAGTTCCCCWGATACATGTATATACAGAACTGCTGCCTCTCCTCAACAGAAAGGTTCTCACTCCTCCAGCAGCTTTCACACCTGACCAGTGTGGGGCGAGTCAATGAACAGACTTCTRACAGTCTGATCCACTTAAGATGAGGAGAGGCAAGTTCTGCCTCGATCCACAACTGCGGGAAAGGATTATGTTTTTTTTCTAAATATACCTGAAAGCGAGATTAAAACACAAACCATGTTAAATGTTGGGATCCAAGTGATAATTCAACTTTTTTTTTAATTATTATTTTTAATAAGAAATGAAAGAGAGAAAGTAGAAAAGTAGGGAAATGCCAAGAATAATTCTGAGAAGCATGGAAAAGAGTTACCACCACCATGGGTCCAGCAGTGATTATGGAGGATGATGGGGAACATCTGCCTCAAGTGTGATCCCAGGCAACCAGACCAGCAGGGTGGGGCATGAGCAGCCTTGTTGGAGCAGCCAGGACTGCAAAGGACAGCAAAGACTCTGACACTWCGTAGATTTTTGCAGCAGATTTTTGCAGCCTCTGAAGCAGATTGGGAACTTGCTTATGGAGGGTTTTGAGCAGCAATACACTTCCMCCTCATAACAACAACATGTCCATTGAGAACTTCATCTTTGCTCCCTTGAGATTCACTGGCTGCTCGTTGGTTTCCAGGCAAAGTTTGCCTGATGTATCAAAAAGTTTATTTAGTTATTATGTATGCCTGATGTATCAACTACAGCTTTTAAWGACCTTGAAACATGTGTSTAATTYTCTAAAATAAAGCAATTTCTRAAGTTTTTGTTAGAGGCCATTCAAAACTTAGACTTTGAAACATTAATCTTCTAAGAGGCAATGCAGAAACATCCCCTGCTTTTTACTTCTTCACTACAGATGTCCTAAAGGAATATGTTTCACAAATTGTCAGGATACCATCCAGTCCCTCTTGCTTTCCATCGTCTTGCCAATGGTCTCCGGTCAGTCTGTGACTTATCCTGGTCACTATTCATCTCAGGGCTTTYTCCTCTCTGTCCTGGAAAGCTCATGCATCAGGTTTGTATTTTTGTTTAAAACCCCTCTTATACTCATTMATAGACCTAGAAAGGACCAACTTTGAAGCCCAGAAATGACAATGTCCCTAGAGGTTCTCCAGACATTTCCCTTGCTGCAAATAATGAACAGCAAGGCTTGGGGGAGTCAACAGAAGCAGTCTGGGACAGGCTATGGGGTATGGGAAGAGGAYCTGGTTTCTATCACATCATGAAGCTGAACACATGCTGAGACACTGGAAACACCTTGTTGATGCACAGCTTGACCAAAAAGCATGACCAAATCAGTCCTCTCAGGTCCCACCCAGTCCAACCTCTGGGCCAGATCAGGGCTGCCTCCAACCATATCCTCCTGCAYCATCAGGGACATGGAAGACTGAGCAGTCCAAACCATCCATGGGATTACTGCCAGCCACCAAGGGCTGCTTGGTGGCTGTTTCCAGGGAGGAACACCACACTTTGGCCACATGTAAGTGCCCGGGGATTTCACAAATCTGAAAGCTGATTGATTTCAAGAAACTTTGAAAGGTCTTCCTACCTAACACAGATGACTATCATGTCATGGTTTGTGTTTGGATACAGCAGACCCTGTGGTCYTAGCATGGTGAACACCTTCCTCCAATTTTTGGATATAGCCTTGTGAGATCGCTGAATCCGAAGAGAAACTAATACCATGTATGAGTCAGCATAAAATMAGCTGGGAAAGGGMAACTGTTTCACTGTGGTTTGGTCCTTGCAGTGACTCCAATACCCCTTGCTTTACGCTTGTTGTGCTGCTGTTACCTTGTGCCCACTCAACCCAAGAGAAGTGGTGATTTAAGACACCAGCCACAAACTGAGGGCACAGGGAGACAGAGGATTCAAAACACCACTCATAGGTAAGTTACACTCTTTCGTAAGTTACTTCTGACTAAAGGTTTGTTGCGCTAGTTGTGCTGAGAACTYGAAGTTGTTCATTTACTTGTGTTCAGTGCCTATAGCTGGAATCATGGCATTTCAGCAGCACCACTTAGCACCAGGAGGATTCAACACAGCAGACAGGGGTGATGAGGAAAAGAACCACTAGAATTTATCCCCAAATGGCATTTACAAAAACAAAGGAAGACACAATGGAGGATGTGGGAACACGTGGCCCATGGGGCACAGCATGACCAGGTCTGTGTCATCAGCAAGGGGCCAACCAAGGAGAGAGGCAGAGGAGGCAGCTCCTAGAAAGATTCAGCAAAGGTGACCTGCTGCACACCCAGATACCACCTCCTTCTGCCCCACCCCACAGTTGCTTCAGTTCAATGCCAGGACTTGGAGACATGAGATTCAATCCCTAACCTGGACTTTGAATCAGACTGCTTGTGGGGAAGCCAGGCCCTGCACTCCCAGCACAGTGGCTTATACCTGGAGGGCAGCTTGGCAGGTTTCTCATGTTTGCCTCTCCTTCCAGCTCTTATCATTGAAGAGCAGCAGCTCTTGGTTCACAAGATGCACCTGACAAATTCTCAGAACTCTGTCCTCTGTGGACTCTCAACATTAGTTTTTCTAGTCCACACAGTGCCTGCAGACAGTCTTGGTCCCATCTGTCCCTGCAGTTGGCACCAAAATAAGAACTTGATAAACTTGGGTCACCTGAGATCCAGCACCTCACCATGTCAGTCAATGGGGCACAGGGAAAGTGCCAGAAAACATGGTTCTAATACATCTCAGCTCAGATCATGCTGGCTAATGCTGTTCTCTTAGCTCTGTGCAGAAACTATAACACACACACACATACACACACACACACACACACTCTCTCCCCTGGATCCATTTATTCATTGAGCAGGCTTCTTACTCTCAAGCAGATAAATAAAGCCAAAATATCTTCCTTGATACCACAGCATCTCCAGAGCATACACAACTCCACATTAATTGTGTGCTGTGTCCCAGCCTCATGATTGCTGCTCTGCAGGATGTATGGACCAGTSAGATGTATGGGCAGAGGAAGGATCAGCCCAGTCTGATGCACCACCATCACCAAGCCTTGCTGATCCTGGGAAGGTGGTGGCCAGCAGAAGAGCCACCCTGTGCAAAGTGGCCCTGAAACAAGACAAYTTCATCCCAGGCCATTTGAGGCATCAGTAGATTGAAGGATCTTYTTTTAGCTTCCTCTTGTACAGGGCAGACAGAGGAAGAACAGACTCCAGCTTGGCAGATTTTTCTGGGAAAAGGAATCAGCTGGTCAGGGGACAGGGACTTGACTGTTCACCTCCTAATTTGCAATGCCAGACAATTCCTAGCTGTTAATTCTTCCCACCTCTGGCTCAGATCTGCAACCCTTGTAGACTTCTCTACCCACAGAAGAAAAACCCTATATCAAAACACAGTCCTTCCCTGGCTGCCTGAGCCATGAGACCCATGAGAGTGTCCCACATTGCCAAGGAGTCCATGGGTTCTGGGCCAGGCAGGGAAAGGGGTGAGATTCTGGATGATGCTGGACCCAGCTCTATCCCATTTCAGCCTCACAGTCTGATGGCACTGTGCTCACATCAAGGYTGCAGTGGGACAGGAGGGGGAGAAGCAGACCTCTACATCTTTCAGCTGCAGTTGAGGGTGGCAGGGAGAAACCCAGACCGTCATGATGTTGGGATGTGTCTGAGAAAGCCCTTCTGAGAAGATACATTAGTATGTTGGTTTTGCTTGGCCCAGTTTTTGGTAGTTGGGGAGGGCACAAAAATGGGTCCTGTGAGAAGCTTCTGGAAGCCTCCACCATGTCCAGCAGACCCAATCTCTGATGGCTTTGAAGATGATGGACATGCCGCTGGCCAAGGCTGGGCCAATTGGA